CATAGGTAAATAATTTAAATAAAGTAAATCGCTACGTTGTCCCCACCTGAAGAAGGACGCTTGTGTTGCGCCCGAAACGTCGTAATTTAATTTATTTAATTTTTTTACCGACGTGACTTTACCGGAAAAAATCAAAGAGTATGAATCCTTGCAGTCACGAAAACTTCAAATCTAGAATCTGTACAAGGACCTTAAGTTACGGTAAACTGTGAGTGAGTGACGCAGTGGTGTGCTCATTGTCACAGCCACGCCATGTGACGCAGTAGCCAATGATAGGTCGATGAGGTGGTGACGATGAGGTGGTAACGATGAGGTGGTGACTCTGCTGAGAGTGTCATCAGGGGCCTTGTGGTAGCGCAAGAGGATTTCAAGAGTGCCTGCCCTACCAACGGGGACTTCACGATCTTCTACGGGATGCCCAAAACACCCATTACCACTTCTGCCAATGCGGCTCTGATGTAGCAGCTGCGTCCCGTGATGCCTCAAGGGAGTTGGGTCGCCATGGTGGCGAGATGTTAACTACCTCGCCAGGAATACAACAGGGTCGGGGGTTCGATCCCAACCCTGACAGCTTGCTGTATATTTGGAGTTTGCTTGTCTCTCTCCTTTGGTCACCGGGTTCTCCGGTTTTTCCCTCCACATTTAGAAACGTGCATTCAAGAGTATTCAGCTGCCATGAATTACCACGTGATAAGCCACTTCGTTGAGCTATCATTTGTGGCCTGGTCGCTTATGAATAAGATCTACACAGCTCAGTGGGCATTACCTGGCTAAATAAATAAATAAACATAGTTTTTAAATCTTTTAAATCGTGTCACTGCCATTATGTGTGGACTCGCAGCCGAACAACGAAGTGCCCGAAACGAGAGTGTTGTTCGTACCGTCTCGTGCAGACGGGCTTTTATCTTACATTGTTGTCTCATGGTCGATTGCTGTTGTTTATGTTTTTTTATTATATCATATCAAAGGTTATTGGTGTTGCGTCCACCCTCCTCACCCACCAGACCCTCGCACTGAGCTGCAAATTAAACATCCCTTTTTCCACAGTGCATGGATACAGAAGCCGGGAAGAGTTCAACTCGGATTCACTCTCTCTCTCTCTCAACTTTATTCACATGCTATGAAGAATGGCCGTTGCTCAACCCATTGCATTTTCATATATTTTTCTTTTTAAGGCCACGGTGGCCATGACCAATGTGTTGAATCTTCCGTAGTTAACGAAATAATAAATCCTGGGACATGACGCCACAGAACTACTTGTAGACACAAGACGATTCCAGCTTCGCGACAAGGCTCTGTTAAGCAAATATTGTACGAAACTTATTGCGTGCTGATTGCGGAACATCCTGGATGATAAACTTAATACAGGTAGGAACAACAGGTTCCACACTGATAATTGTTTTTTTGCCCTTTTATCTGGCAACAAAACTGACACCTTTTTTTTACAAGGAGCCATGTTTGCATAGACCACAATACCTGCAGTTATAATGCAAACAAAAAACATAACTCTGATAATGTATGCACTGTCCTTGAAGTTGAAGTCAGGTATATGCAAACATGACTCCTTGTAAAAAAGGTGTCAGTTTTGTTGCCAGATAGAAGGGTAAACAACCAATTATCATATTTTTTACTGGCAAGTGAGGTTCCAATGGTGTAAAGTTTCCACACTGCCCACCAGGGATTATTTGTCTGTCTGTCGGTCGTACATACACGGAATTGCGCCCCCCCATGCCCCTCCCCACCAAACACCAAGCTACGCCGCGATTGGTTGACGATGTTAGGGAGGGTGGGGGGGAAGGGTCAACATGCCCACTCATCCAACTGCCACTTATTGGCCCTCTGGACGTGTCAATCAGTTTATGGAAGCAAATTGTGGATCACATTTTGACCTGAGGACGTCATTAGCACAGCCAGGCTCGTTACAAACGCCGATTCGTTTCATTTGTTCACCAAACGATGAATCGATTTTTTTTATCGAATTACGATGCTAGTTTCCGACAATCGATCACATTTCCGTGGTCGGGGAATGTGGTGGAGAGGGGGGGGTCATTCCACTTCTCCTGCGCAGACCCCAACACGTGTACATCCCCAGTGTACGTCACTGATGGCCGCGTGCACGAGACGACGGGCGATGAAGACACTTTGGCAAGTGGGGAAGTGCCCCTCCGTATATACCGCGAACACTAACACCCAGAGTTAATTGAACGCGAAGTGGACCTTTTATAAATGTGTCTTTTTTTACGTTTATTCCGTTGAAATAACAACGGCCTGACGACCGGCGGGAGCTGAATGTATTGCACATGGGAAGATACGCGATTAATTAACAAAGTGCCAAGTTCAATAAATGCAATTAACTTTTATCGGCTATTACCATGGCCCCGCTCTGTTTCAAATTTCCGCAGTAGCTGCGATTTTTTTTGCTGTTGTTTGGTGATGGACGACTCCCAATGGGAAAGGGTAATTTTGCGTTGCAAGTATTCATTTTTAACTGTTACGCTCGGCAAACAAAAATAAAACAAGCAGAAATGAGTTAACATTATACAGAACGTGTGAACAAAACATGTCTTTATCTGAGGATGTGGGGATGACGGATGGGAGGGCTGACACAGGAATTGACGCGTTGCCTTCGGGTGTCACCTGTCCTAGTTTTCCCAGGATAGTTCTCTCCTTTGACGTAGCCGTTCTGTGAAATACAGTATAGTCTTAAGTCTTCCCTCCCGGATCATTAAAAGTCCACGTTTTTTGTCAGTTTCATAATAATAATGATGCTACACCACTTGCGACAACGTAGTTCTCCCCTCCTATGGCATTGCGAGATATTCTGCCCAGCGTGATACGTCGCAGCTGTTATTTGTCTTCACCACACAGAGCTGGCCACCCCAGGCGGAGTTACGAACTCGCAGACTTGGGTGTTAATTCATGGCCAAGGCTAACATGAGTGAGTGCTATCTGAATTGCATTCTTGCGTGTGGCAACCTGTTAAGGAGCTAAATGCCAATATCGAGGTGTGCTCACCGCGAGAAGGTTTCAGGAAAGGGTTCATGTAGTGTTACTATTCTGCCACTGAAAGAGTGCAGACTATAGGAGCTTCCTATATGGTCCGTAGTCTATCGATATCTGAGTAGATATTTTATATTGTTTGAATCTACAAAGCGCTGAATGAAGAATGAACTCTTTGTGGCAGCAGAATAGTGTGATGAGATGAGATGAGTTGATGAGGATGGTAGTCCACGATGAATGTGACGATGCGTGAAATAAACGATGATGAGAATGACAGTGAGTGGTTTATGACAATAATGAGTGTGATGGATGGGTAGGAAAGTTGGGAAGAGGGATGGAGTTAATGATGGAGGGATGGGGACAGGGGGTTTTGGGTAAACGAGCGATATTAAGTGATATTCTTAGGTTTTTTCGGTAAAGTCACGTAGGTAAAACATTAAAATTAATAAAAGTAAAATAAAATAAAAATCACGACGTTTCGGAGGCAACACAAGTCTCCGTCATCAGGTGGGACCGTCACAGCCAGATTTGCTGCATCAACTTGCTTTTAAGGGATTACATCTTGAATCATTGCCTCACTTGATGCAGCAAATCTGGCTGTGACGGTCCCACCTGATGACGGAGACTTGTGTTGGCCTCCGAAACGTCGTGATTTTTATTTTATTTTACTTTTATTAATTTTAATGTTTTACCTACGTGACTTTACCGAAAAAACCTAAGAATATGAATCCTTGCAGTCACGAAAGCTTCAAATCTAGGATAATAAGTGAGTTGTAAGCGTAGAACGAAAAAATACAGTATGTTGAACTTCGTTTGTATGTAGCCAACCACTCATCTTCACCAATCCACACTGACCAGCATGGTGAAGTACAGTCAAACAAACCTCCATGGCCGAGACTGCGTGGTGGAGACGTCCATGCACGAGTGGAATCACAAAGGGCTGCGAGAAAATGCGTAAGGTATAGAAATTGTGTAATGATGCTGATCACGACTACATTCTATATATCAGCTGAATGCTATAGTTTTTTTTTATACTGGTAGGAACCACCTGGTTCTACCAGCCCACAGGGGATTATTGTGTCCGGCCGTCCGTCGTGCATCCAAAAATGGGAGGGGTGGGGAGGGGCTGGGTGGAGAGGGGAGGGGTGGGTGGGGAGGGTGGGGCTGGGTGGGGGGGTGGGAGGGGTGGGGCTGGGTGGGGAGGGGCTGGTCACCCCGTGGTGCTCTTATAAAACTCAACGTTTAACCTTCTCACGCCGGCTTGTGCCCGCCCTCACAGTCGGCCATATTTGCGGAATACACCACGCCGCCGTTGATCCTGGCCATTGACCGAGAAACCCAACGTTCCTACCAGCTCCTTCCGCAGGAATGTGTTATATATACTGTCATTATATTTTAAAACAACGTAGATGTTTTTGTTGTGTGTCTTACTACAGTAGCTAGAAATACTTTTTTAAAATACAGTCTACCACCTGGCTTAATTGTATAAGTTAAAAGTGTTAATTATCTTAGATCAATTAATGCATCTGACACTTTGATTTGCTTCAAAAATATACCATCTCCGAGTCGTGACAATGTCATTAATGGCATACAAATGCATGCTGTTTGTGTAACTGGAAAATGTACCAATATGTGACATTTAAAATGTAATTTGTTTTGTTGTTTTTATTCACAGCGAATAATAATGGGGAGAATATCGCCACGCACGCTGCCTCTGATGCTCAAGTTAAATGTTACACGAGGCTCTCCGCGCAGTCGTTGCAAAATCACGTGGGTGCGAGAGAACAAACAAAACGCGTCGTTTTAATCGAATCACGTCACATCCGTTAGCCCTACAGCATCAACAAGCATGATTAATAATGCTGCAAATAACTTAATTGTGAAAGAGAAAAAAAAATTTTGACAGCTGAATCGGAAAGAAAAGAAAGCGTCGCTGCATGTGTTTTCTCGGGTTGTACAACCGGTTGTTAAACCTGTTGCACGCCCTGAGAAAACTGAGAAGACACAGGAGAGCGATACAGAACTACAAAACCGGAGGCAGTTGTAAAAACCTTTTTTTTCCATAAATACAGACACATCATTTATTTTTGGCTGCGTAACGCGGAGGGATTCTCCCGGGTCACGGGGTCAAAACGAGGGATGGGAGTCCATTCAACCAATCGTCATCCCTCCAAGAGCTGAACAGTGAGTATTTACTTTCTCGGCAGTCGTGGGTGTCCGTCACGTGGAGAAACGTGAACATTTAATTTTTAACAAATACAGTATAGTCCGATCTCTCGTAACGCTGCGCGTTTTCATAATTGTATAAAACGCGACGAATCTATTCGTGACCACGTTTAAAAAATATATATATAACGCGTGTGCGTATTAGATACAACGCGACTGAGTGAACAGAACTGCGTCGCGCCAGTAGAAATAAGCAGCTGCGCGTCTGCCTCGGCGTAGCATCGCACAAGGCGGCGGGGATGCTGCTGGATGCTTTCCAGATGCTTATCCACGCGCCTCGGTCTTTGTTTTGAGCCTACGTACGCATCTCACGCGTTATCGCGCCCCGTGCTCATTATAACGCGAATTTGTATCCCCATAACGCGGCTTTCTTCAGGAACGCAACTACCACCGCATTATCGGAGAACGGGCCTGTGTCCGCGTATTTGTTGAGTGCGTTGGAACGGCGGCACGGCGGATAACGAGCCTGTGAGCCCGGCGATGACTCGGATGAGCGGCAAGCGATATCTGAACCCAGTCCTGGGTCTCCTCCCTCCCTGCCAACCTGCAACGACCGTCAAGGTGAAGCATGGTCAAACATCCCCCCCATGACTGACAAAGTGTAACGAGCCCTTCGTCATCCAGTATTGAACATCCGTAAAAAAGAGCTTCATAGCCAGTTGGATTCCTCCTCCAGTATAAATACATATTCTGAGTCTGAGTAGCAGCTTGTTGAATAATGATAGTTATTATTATTATGCATTTCTACAATCTCTTTTGCATCACTTTTATATCTATTTGTTCTGATTAAGCCTCAATGTATGCACGGCAGTGTGTGCATTCACACATCCCACTCCCCTCCCACGCGCACGTCGATGAATCATTATCCAGAACCTCCCCACCAAAATCCTGAGACAATCTCCCCTCTGGAAACCAAACCCGTCTCCACGCAACAATATCACGCGGTGACAAGACGTTAACTCCACAACTTGACACGGGTCTAATAGTTGCATCAGCAGGGCAACGGGGATAGATGTCATACAAGCGTGGTGAGGTGTCCCAAGTTGAGCAAATGTTCACCACGGTGGCGAGATGATGAGACTCCCCGAGTTGGGCAATTTCTGCAAGATGCGTACGGAAACAGATGTCAAATATCTTCTTGGTTCTTTCGGTAAAGTCACGTAGAAGGGAGATAATAAAATAATAAAAATAAAACAATATTTTTATTAAAATAATAAAAATTAAACAATATTTTTATTATTTTATTATTTCCCTTCTACGTGACTTTACCGAAAGAACCAAGAAGATGAATCCCTGCAGTCACGAAAGCTTTAAATCGAAAAAGATGTCAAATACCTCGCCTGATGCACAGGAGGTCGTGAGTTCGATCCCGACCCTGACGCCTGTACGTTTGGAGTTTGCATGTTCTCCCCGCGGTCGTGTGGATTTTTCTCTGGGATCTCCGGTTTTCCCCTCGACATTCAGTTACGTGTGTTTAGAGTATTTAGTTGCTGTACATTTTCACGTGAAAAGCCACTTCGTTGGCCAGGTCGCTTCTGAAATAAGTATAACCCGTAAAAACAAAGTTTTTCACTCTAAATCCTTTATATGCGTGGTGGCTAGAGTCCTCTCGTCCTCTGGCTTGAGATGGCTGCCACCTATGGGTCAGATGATTGTCTGCAGTATTAAACAATTGGTAATTAAAGATTTAATTTGTTTTCCCTAAACAGTGTAAAATTTTGGAAAAAAAATTTCACGAACAGTAATTGTCTCGCGCAACGAGTCTGTGTGCAAAATGTCAGCTCGATTGGATCACAGGAAGTGGGTTAAAAAACGACCGAAAGGTTTGCACGGTCGTAAGCAAGCAAGCACGCAAGCAAGCGAACTTAATATAAAGGATTTAAAAAGAGCTTTATAGCTCGGTGGACCTTAGCTGGTAAAATGTTTATTGTTTCGTTTTATATTCTTGGTTCTTTCGGTAAAGTCACGTAGAAGGGAAATTATAAAATAATAATAATAATAAAATATTTTATAAAACAATAAAAATTCTCACGACATTTCGACTGATGTGGATTTCACACCTGATGACGATTGCTTGTGTTGCAGTCGAAACGTCGTGATATAGTTTTTTGTTTTATATATTTTATTATTATTATTTTATTATTTCCCTTCTACGTGACTTTACCGATAGAACCAAGAATTTGAATCCCTGCAGTCACGAAAGCTTTAAATCTAATTGTTTAGTTTTAGTTTAACAGGGAGGCTCACGGAGGCTGACGGCCGGCTCATGCTTAACCCACAGCGAGCATCTCACAGGCAAATAGACTCCTCATTGACTTTGAAATATCTCTCACGGCATCGTTGCCTGAAATCCATTCTCATGGCCCGAGTATAAACTCTTAATAGTCGCACAGCTGTGGTTGCAGAGAACTGCCAGCCCTCTTCATGGCCCCCAGGGAGCTCAAGTTTCATGGGTTTTGTTTTCCCTGTGGGCAGATGCCTCACGATTTGAAGCTTTCGTGACTGCAAGGATTCATACTCTTAGGTTTTTTCGGTAAAGTCACGTAGGTAAAAAAGAAATAATAAAAATTAAAATAGTTAGAAATAAAATTAGAAATTATTATAAATCAATAATTTTATTTCTATTATTATTTATATTATTTAATGTATTATTATTATTAATGTTTTACCTACGTGACTTTACAAAAAAAAACTAAGAGTATAGATGCCTCACCATCGACCATTGCCGAATGTGCATTCGAGATGAAGACGCTCGGAAACGTGCGATGCTGGTCACAGGCGCTTTTGAGGAACTGGACGGTGGCCCGCAGCTGTGATGCTGTGCTCTGGACGCGAGAGTTGGTGGTGTGCCACACTGATCTGTTAAGTTCCCACAGACTCGATGAGCCCCAATGTGATTATGATGTAGCCAATTGGTTGATTCGTTAACCCATCTGGGTGGCCCTGTGAATCTTGGCTCGTTGTGTGTGAGCTGTAGGAGTTTGGGTTTCTCCCACGTGCAACGCTCATTAACTAGTATGCTGGTTCCTCCTGAAAGAGAGTCTTGAGGCTTGGCTAGACCCTTATGGGGTAAATGGTGGCGGCGGTAGCAATGGCGCTGTGAACTCGGCAAACCTGAGTTTGATTTCTGGCCTCAAGCAACATCACTGGCGAGAGTTTATGTATCGACACCTCATTCACAATGTGCTGATAGTTTGCATGCTTCGAGTGGCATTGCAAACACGAGACCGTCGCTGCTCTGCCGCTGATGAGATTGGACCCACGACGGCGCACCGCAGGAAAGCAGAACCCGTAGAACAATGTCCCATGAACATTGTTCTGTGAACAATGTCCCGTGAAAATGTCTTGTGAACAATGCCCCATGAACAATGCCCCATGAACAATGTCCCATGGACAATGCCCCATGAACAACGTCCCATGGACAATGTCCCATGAACAATGTCCTGTGAACAATGTCCTGTGAACAATGTCCTGTGGACAATGTCCCATGAACAATGCCCCATGAACAATGTCCTGTGAACAATGCTCCATGAACAATGTCCCATGAACAATGCCCCATGAACAATGTCCTGTGAACAATGCTCCATGAACAATGTCCCATGAACAATGTCTTGTGGGCAATGTCCAATGAACAATGCCCCATGAACAATGTTCTGTGAACAATGTCCCATGAATAATGTCTACGAACAATGTCCCGTGAACAATGTCCTGTGAGCAATGTCCCGTGAACAATGCCCCGTGACCAATGTCCTGTGAACAATGTCCCGTGAACAATGCCCCGTGAACAATGCCCCGTGAACAATGCCCCGTGAATAATGTCCTGTGAACAATGTCCAATGAACAATGCCCCATGGACAATGTCCCATTAACAATATCCCGAAGCGACGCTCTGTAAGCGTGGAAATCACATCGACTAAAACCCTTTAAGAAAACATGTTTTCCGTCGGTTATGAAAAATATGCGTGCTCCAGTCTGATAATTGACCTGGTCAGAACCTAACCCATCTCGTTCCTGTTACATAAACACATGGCCTGTTCGGTTAGGCTGTTGGTAAATCATCTCTGCCCACCATGTCTTGTCTGTGACAAGATCGCCTGGAGTGTGACTGACCTCGTCAGATCTATGCAGGGTAGAGGCACTACAATGCTTGGATGGACAACCACCGCACGAAAAGAAGGCTTTGCAGGACTATGCGGTGGGCAGTGCACCAACATCCATTGTTGTACTGTGCTTCTATGCTACCACGGCTACGCACCCCGCTGTCACCAGCCACACTGTTGAACGTGGTGAAGTATGGTCAAATAACCCTCGCGACCCCGGACACGTGTGGGCTTGTAATATGCATGCGCATTGTTGCTTACTACGAACATTGAAAATCGGGGGAAAATGAGAAAAAAAAACTCCTCACTATCATTAACACAGCCTCAAAGCAGGCCTACGGTATTGTGAAAACTGACGTGGTAAGCTGACATTTAAGGCAATGGCCCTTTTGTCAGAGCAGGGAGTAGCAAGTGTGACTGACAGCGCGGTGGATTGACAACAGTGGTAAATCTGCAGAAAGCTGGCGTGCGAACAGGCGTGAACTGACATATCCGTGACGAGATAATGAGCAGTGTAAATAAAAGGCTTGAATGAGCAATGCCACTGCACCTGTACGGTGGCAGCCCGGGCTACATCAGCGGCTCTGAAGAAAGTTCCTCGAATGGACGTATAGCTCATTACGCAACTTTGAGCGATGACGCCAGGTGTGATCGCAGGACTGCAGCGACTCCACCTCCAGCCATCCGCCTCCCGACCCCCTTGTGATTTGATGTATCGTGGTTATTAAGGGGGTCACGATTCAATTCCAGAATCGATTTGTTTGTTTTACTTTACAGCGAGGTATATGCAGTGACCTCTGACGCCCACTGGCGTCACGGTCACCACCGTTATACAGAGGGTACATGATCGGATAATCGTCATTTAGTTTTTTTACGAGGATGCACACGAGCAATTAATACATGTGACGCGAGCTTAAATAGTCAATTGATGCATCAGCGCATTGTAAGGCCATAGAGATTGTGATGATACATTTTTGTTGTGCGTGTGTAGTGTAATAGTGCCGGCTGGTGGACAGAAGCAGCAACTGTGGTGGACAGACAGCGCACGCGCCTGTGAGGCTGTGCACGGTGTGTTGGCAGAGCGGAGGAACTGGGGCAAGGGTCACGGAGGACCCCATCTGGAGGCTCCTGGAACCTGCTGGCAGGTTCGAGAAGGGAGGGGCGGTCAGGGTGGAGCCAGGCTGCGCTGGGAGCATAAAAGGAGTCGAGAGCGGGAGCTCGAGGCTGCCGGTTCTGGGAGTGGACTCGTCTCGTCGTTGCTGTCGTCTCGTCGCCATCGTCGCTAAATGTCTCGGCTAGATATTGCACTGCGAAGGAAAGTAGTTGGCTATCTCAGCACAGCGCCGTCAGTGTTAGACGGCCAGTGTTGTGTACATGCGAGGCTGAGCTACTGTGGAGAGTGTGCAGACGAGACCGTGAAAGTTGATGATAAAGAAAGTGCCTCCTAGAAACTCTGTCTCTGAATCGTTGACACTGCACGTGTATGCCACTACCAGCACAATAGAGTACAGGATAACTCCTCTGTTCCACGGTGATGTGGGGGGCCAATATCACAGATCCTATTTGTGATTTTACAAATATAAAGAATAGGGCCACGGATAATAGGAGTTTTCTTAGGTCCTACATCTCCCATGCAATAATACGAATCGTGGTCAATGAGAGCGCAGATAATATTAATTATCCTCTGTTTCAACCGTCATTGTTTTATTATTTGATTCTGATTCTGCAGTCTTTGAATGTTCATAAAAGGCTTCGATTGAAAAAGTGTGCAAAGCGCACACGGCTGCCCGGGCCACACGCGAGATATTGCTGCTTTCACTTGCCACGCTGGATGTGTCTCGCTCACACAACAAGACAACACTTTATGCGTGGCCCGTGCCCGGCATGCTAAAGTGGTGGCCTGATTTGATTTGACAAGTGTGGGTGACGCCGCGCGAACAAAATTGATTCGTGCCTCCTGACGCCGTGGATATGAAAAAGCGGGCGGTCATTAGTACTCCGCTCACAATCATGTGCCATCGCCGCCCACCCAAGGACAAGTAGGTGACCTTCCCGAAACGACGTATCATCGCAAGGCATCTTCAACCCCACCCTCCACCCCCCGTGAAAAGCGGCGCCCTGCCAGAGAGCCACACTGTTCCGGTAATGATCTTGTAATTGTTTTGCCTGAAGGCCGCGGGACAGAGACTCGTCTCAAAGTGGAACGGGTATTTATAGGCCCGTGCGTTACGTCCGTCCAAGAATGCTGTGGCTGTGCGCCACATAGTTGTGCTTACTATTTTGACGAACGTTTCCGAGTAAGCAACTCATCTGTTTCAGGGATTTGTAAAAAAAAAAGTAAGATCGCATGTAAAGGTCGTACCAGGATAGTGTTAACTAATTGACAGTTCAACGAGAAGATTAAAACGTGAAGTCACTGGCTTCCTGCTCAACTGGTGGGGCAGTGCTCTTCACATGATGTTTATGCCTTTTATTGTGAAAATTCCGTCACAGTTCCTATGCTCATTGTTTCATTGGTTTCATGGCTTTATTTTGGTGATTTCGAAAAGTGTATTGGTTTAGCCATGTTTGTTTGTTGTAGTACAGAGTTAGACTGATGGCCTTAATCTAAGTTGTCTTGTGGTTGTTGTTGGTTGTTTGACTTGCATCCCACTGGGATTTTTGCACACAGCGTTGGTATACGATGTTTTTATCTGCAATATTTTGCTGTCTTTCCTTGGATTTTCTGTTTTCACTCAGTCACATATTCACTTTAAGATGTTTTTTTGTTCATGTTTTAGTTTTTTGTTTGTTGCGGTTGCACCCGATTCAAGAGCCGAATGGCTCACAGGGCTATACCTAATAAATGAACTTGAACTTTAACCTGTTGAGCCAATGGTGTAACTTCCAAATTCCCATACCAGTGCCACGAGTATCCATAGCACCATCACTGGTGACCTTCCACAAGTGGTTATGATTTTATTAACCTTGAGCTGAGTCATTCCCTGAGCAGGATTTGATTTCAAGACCTGATTGTTAATTGACAGCTCGGTGAAACGCGGCTCAGCGGTAGCGTGTTCGCCGCTTCTCTTAGAGGTTCACGGTTCACATCACCGGCCGCCCTGGTTATTGCTTCAGGTTGATTACCAACAACGGTAAAATATTTTTCACAGTCCATAATGTAAGCCATTGTGTGCCGGCACCAGGGTCAAACTTAGCCAATATAAAAAATAATAATAAAATTGGTCAAATAACGAATGTCAGTTCAAATTTTAAAATGTTTATTTCTAAGCTGTTTTATGAGGACCGGTGTCCATCATAGAGGTGTTTTGGGTTAGACAAATATATCAATGTGTCATTAAAACCCGCCACCACCCGACACAGCCAACAAATGCTGTGGATTCACTCTTCAACACACCCGTGGGCTAAAGTAGTGAACTATTTGTCTTTTGTCAACGTGACACTTTTTTACTGATTTGCCGTGTCGGGTGGTGGAGGGTTACGACACATTTATAAATAACGCGATCTAACCCAAAAACGTTGATTATGAATAATATTGGTCGCGAAAGCCTACGTGTTAAACAGCCAACTAGTAATTCTAGATTTGAAGCTTTCGTGACTGCAAGGATTCATACTCTTTGGTTTTTTCGGTAAAGTCGCGTTGGTAAAAAATTAAATTAAATAAAAGCCAACCAGTAAGGATTGTCACGTAAACAGAAGATGCCAATTCGACACTAGTACAGAACATCGGTGTGTTGGAGAGCCAAGCCACAACATTTACAATCTGAGTACTGTGTGGCTTGGCTCTCCAACACACTGGTGTGCTGTACTAGCGACGAATTGGCCACGTTCTGTTTACGTGACAACCCTTACTAGTTGGCTGTGTCGGGTGGTGGCGGGTTTTAACGACACATTTATACATTTACGCGATCTAACCCAAAAACCCCTATTATGAATGATATTGGTCGCGAAAAGCTGCTACGTGTTCAACTGAGGACCGGTGTGTTATGCTGCACTGGTGTACCGGTGTATTGTGCCGCCAATACCTCCATCTGTACCCTTGTCACATTGTGTTCACGGAGGGCAGTTTGTTGTGGTGCCTTCACCTCCGCACATCTCTTTAAGCTCCTGTGCGTTTCATTTAAACAATTCCAGTTCGAACTGCCCTTTGTTGCAGCTGCATGCCGTGTCACGCAAGTGTGTCAAAAAAAGGTTCTCTTTTACGAACGGAATGCAGAAAATCCAGTTATGCCATTTTGATTATTACCCAAAACAAGAAAGATCACGTTCACATGTTGTTTTCCTTCTGCCTCATAAACACACTGTTTTCTTGAGGTGTTGTTGAACGCGTGCGAATGACAACTGATTGCAATTCTGTAGCAGAAGCGCATCTGATAGCGAGTGCTGCAATGTCTACAACTCTTGCATATGGACACACCCCTCTGAATGCACCCCTCTCGTCACATCGTGGAAGCTAAGCAGGGTTTAGCCTGGTTAATACGTGGGGACGTGAGACTGCCGGGAAACGCCAGGTGCAGAAGCCTTGAGCTGTGAGGTGTGGCCAGGAGTTTGCAGCACAGCAATGCATTCTCGAATATATCGGTGCAGAAGCTTTAAATGTGGATCTCCCCATACGTGTGTGTTATCTTTTCATTTCAGCATTTCAGATTTCTTACACATGAAGGCAAACACTCATTAATGGAAATGACCAACCATCTCAATGTAGAACCCCCGTAAAAAATAGTGTTCCGACTCAGGTAGACTCCTTGGATCATCAAAACGACAATTATTAAACAGATGAAGCCACCTCTGCTTAGAAAAGGTTGGATGGTCAATTTAAAGGCCTTTGTCTTACTTAGAACGTCAATTCTGCAACGATGTTACTCACGAACATAGGGCTCACAATTCTGTGCCACACAAACACTCATTAATTGGAAGAAAATATCCTAATATGTAGAGGACCGCAGAGCTTAGACACTTGTTGGTACAGGTTCACTGTCTGGCTGCTGCCCTCCAGCTTGTCTGTGGTTCCTCACGGCTCTCATTCGTTCTCTGTATTCGAGAGTGGGTCGAATATTGTGCGCATTGTAAGGTAACATTATTATGATTATCTATCAACCCACCAATTATGTTCAAATCGGTTCTGCATTTCTTATAACTCGCATACCACGAACGCTTAATGTGTGGCTTGTAGGTGGGTGTGGTTGGGCGTTTTTATTTTCAAATCGCATCGCTAACAAACAGAAGCACTTTCGGGCGCTTTTCAAACAATCCCCCTATACGTAGAGCATGATGCCTTCTGGTGCCATTTTCATGGGCGGAGATTTCACGAATACGTGCCAAAAAAAACCCCCACTTCGCATTATAAGCACTGTCACAGCCGAATGCAACGGTCTATTGCTCAGGCCGGTTGCGAGGGCAGACCCAAGGGGGAAGCTGTTGGCTTCACAATGGCAACGCCTTGCGCCAGGAGCGATACACGTTTCGCTGTCAAATTGTAGCGTTTGGACAGCAGCGGGCAGGAGGCAAACAGGTGCAGCAGTGGGCAGAATTGTTTTGGTCGCGAAAGCCTTCGTGGTAAACTGTAACGACCGACTTGTACGTGACAACCGAGACGTGCTCGAACCCTCCACGAAACCCCTCTGAGATCCCGAAAAAAACGGGTGCGGGATCGCGCGAGACAATGTGGACGAAGCGGGGGGTGGGGGGGGTCAACTGAAGACCGCAATGTGGACGAAGCGGGGGGTGGGGGGGGACGGGGTCAACTGAAGACCGCAATGTGGACGAAGCGGAGGCGGGTCAACTGAAGACCGCAATGTGGACGAAGCGGGGGGTGGGGGGGGGGGGTCAACTGAAGACCACAATGTGGACGAAGCGGGGGGTGGGGGGGGGGTCAACTGAAGACCACAATGTGGACGAAGCTGGGGGGGGGGGTCAACTGAAGACCGCAAGGTGAACGTTGTGGAGTTCTGCTGAGGTCCCTCGTAAAAGCCCCATCGAGTGCCTGACCACTGCTCAGCGCGGTTTCGTTCTGCTATTAAAACGGCTCCATCATCGACCGCTTCGGACAAGCGACCCCCGCCGCTGCGCTCGCCTCTCCCACAAATTGGAAATTGTCTTTTCCGAGACCAAGGTTCTCTGCAAACCTCCCGGCTACCATCAAAGGTTTGTACACGAAGCCATACAAATATGCAAACACAGACATAATTTCAACCGTGATGATGGGTACAAACTTAGTAATCATTGGAAATATTCTTTGGTTCTTTCGGTAAAGTCACGTATAAAGATAAAATAATAAATTAAATAATAGCATACGACGTTTCGATTGCAACACAAGCAATCATCATCAGGTATAATGAAATAGCGACACAGAATCTAACCAGAAAACTATAGACAGACATGTAAGCAGACAGATATCACCAAGATACATAGAGAGAGCAACCCAGGAACAGAGAGGGGTGATCGTCTCTGTGGGGTGGCCTTAAATATACAGAGGGGGGGCGGAGGCAGAGAGAGGGAGGGGGTAGGGAAAATTTTTTACATGTCAATGAGTACGACGGGAGGGCAAGTAAGGTAAGCAGGCTTAGAGGGAGACAGAACACACTGAATTAAATAACCTAGCAAAGTATCGAAATGTTATGTAAAACGACACAGAGAGTCGGTCAACACACAATTAACGCATAGCCTGGTCGAATACGTATTTCAAAGATTGCTAAGTTAGCATTTAAGTGTGAAAATTCCAAAGAAAGACAAAACATAAAAACAAGAGGAACGGAGACACACATACAGAGCAGAACCTAAGAACGATAAAAAACGAGTGTAGACAGAAAAAATTACATTCAGAACGCTTAATTCAGGAATTAAAATGTAGTTAACTCAATGTAACTTTTACTATGGTATGCATGCTTTATTATGCACGTAGAAGTTGAGCTGAGATATCCGATTATTTAAGTAATTGATTTCATGACAAATTATCGGTTTGATAACTCGACTGATTTCATAAACTTAAAAGAATTGGGAGTAAAAGACTCAACTATTCCCACTTGTGCCGCTGGACGGGAGGTGACATGAGACTTGATTACACCTTCAGCAGCATCATCAGCTGCGTCACACTTGACATGGTTTGTAGGGGGTTTCCAGCCTTCATGAGGAAGGATGTCGGGAAGGTCGCCATTTTTAAAGGGGCTCGAGTTATCCATCACAATAAATTAGTCAGTTACAACATTTAGCAAATCAACTAATCAACCCAGCTCTATAACTGGCCATGGGCCCGACTGATTGTTAAAAAGTAGTCAAATCTCTCAGGCCATCTGCAATGATTGAAATGACCATTTTCCATCAAGAATGTGTAATAAACGACTCGGTCAGGCTTTATTGGTCTCCGTTGTGTCGTTTATTGGGTTCTTCGTACCGCACCCCTCCGCGCACGCTCTGTGTGGGCCGCACTCGCTGGTGGCCACTCCGCTCTCTCCGTGTGCCCCGCACACGCCGCCAGCCACACCGCTCGCTCCGTGTGCCCCGCACACCCCGCTAGTCACTCACTAGCCACGTGTGCCCCGCACACCCCGCTAGTCACTCACTAGCCACGTGTGCCCCGCACACTCCGCTAGTCACTCACTAGCCACGGGTGCCCCGCACACTCTGCTAGCCCCGTCTACCCCACGCACACCACGTGGCAGATGGCGCCGCTCCACCACGTGGCAGATGATGTCGCTGCTCCCGTTCTGCCCAGCGTGGCTTCCCCCCTATTCTCACTCCGTTCCAACTCCCGA